TCTTTGTTGAAACAACTGACTGATCTATTTTGGTATCTCGTTCTTATAAAGTTCCTGAAACCTTTGGACTGGCTGATAAATGGACTCGGCTGTCGAAACCTTAGCTTGGATTTGATTTTTGGTGTGTTAAAAACAAAACCTTTCAGGCAAGCTTTCTTTCCAAAAGACCCTGTTTCAATATAAATTCCTTTACTTAGTTGTAGAGTTGTAATTGCAGGAATGTTCCAATCTCGGAATGGCAAACCTCAGCTAAAGAATGTTTCCAAGCAAATACAACTCAGGTAAACGAAGTTACTAATCTAAAGGAGGATTAGAGAGAGGAAGTAAACTTATGCTAGACTTTAACTAGAGATAATTAATTGCATGGATTACTGTGCTAAACAATAACAAAAGTTAAGCAGTAACCAAAGTTAACCAGTGATGGAGGATGTGTATAAATGTGTATAAATGCAAGACTAGACTCCAATAACGATCATCATGATTCAGTTGTTCATGATCAAACAACTCGACTGCCTCGTCATTACAACACTTAGTAGTGTTTATCTACCCAGCCTGAGTAAATTGCTATTATCACTAACCACAGTGTCTGAGAGTTTAAAACCTAAAACAGGACACGTATCCACACTGGAATCCATTCAACTAAAATACAAGAGAACCATGTCTCATGTTTTCCCCATAATGACTAATACATTTCTCCAGCTGCAGTTAAATTGTGCCTCAGTAAAGGCAGAATGAGAAATTATTGGCTGAAATGTCTACAAGCATGTTTTTAGCTCAGTTTATCCTAGCTGAGAAATTCATCTGTTCTTGAAAGAGGCAAATAATCACTGACTTGGCTAACTATGGACTCTCACCCCAACCTCTGCTTATGATAGCAGTAGAGAAAGAATGGCTGAAGTCAAGCAAAGAGTATTTGACTCAGATCTCTTAGCTGACAGAACCAGTTCCTCACATTGCTGCTACTTTACTTTCACTGGCACGCCATACGCCATTCCAAAATACCTCTTCAATGTCCTCCCTGCCTAACAAGGAAGGACATTCACCCTGGCCTCAGGATCTTTGATATCCTTCACAAATAATAGAGATACCATTTAATAATATCCCTTTTCAAAAATGCATTTGCATCTATTCACATTGCATCTTTCTTTCTAAGCTACTTCATATCATTGTTGGCAATTAGAGTTAATCACCCCATACATTAGCTGATGCTTCAAATGACTTCCCTCTGAAACTCTGCTCTTTTGACTAAGGGATCAGTCCAGGGTAATCACCACAAAGATCATTTAAATCAGCACTGTTGCAATTAGAAGGCAATAGGTTTAACATGGAGCCCAACTGTAGCTATTTGACTGACCCTTCACACTTAAAGGTAGTCCTAGACTTATGGCCATAATTGAGCCTCACAATTTTATTGTTAAGTGGGATATCTGTTGTGAATTTTGCCCCATTTACCACTTTTGCATAGTGAAACACTGCAGTTGTTAATAACCCAATTTAAGTGAATCTGGTTTCCCACTGACTTTTCTTGTCAGGAGGTCACAAGAAGTGATCATATGACCCCAGGACACAACAATTGTCATAAATATGAGCAAACTGCCAAGCAACTGAATTATTATCACATGACCATGGGGATACTGCAAAAGTTGTAACTCTGAAAAATGGTCATAAGTCACTTTTTTCAATGCTGTTGTAACTTTGAACAGTCACTAAAACAAACTTGTAAGTTGAGGACTACCTTTATGAAGTCAAGCTGGGATGAAGTATGGTATATAGGTAGTCCTCAGCTTACGATTGGTCGCTCAGTGACTTTTGAAATTATGATGGACTTCCCCAGTACTAACAACCCAGTTCTGAAGTTCCAAGGTCTGCCCCCCAAGGTCATATGACCACATCTTAGACACTTGGCAATCAGCCCACACTTACAGCTGTTTGCAGCATCCCATGATCATGTGATTGCATTTTATATTTTTGCTGAAAGTGGCATTTACTACCTTTTTTTGGCAAAACTGCCCCATAGAAAACAATTGGTTTGCTTAACAACTGTGGCATTCACTTAACCACCACCACAAAAAGGTCATTAATTAAGTCAGTTATATGACTTAATGTGTCACACTTTATGATCTCAGGACTTACAGCCATAATGGGCAGCTTTCATATATCATAGGACTTGACTTAATATATGTATAAATGACATGAGTAGCCAGAAAACATGATTTTCAAATTTGCAGGTAATAGCTTAAAGCAGGGGTGTCAAACTCAACCACTGTGGGCCGTATCAGGATTTTGTTTGCCCTTGGGGGCTGGGGTGGACATGGCTGGTTGCTGCATCCGACTGGGTAGACGGGACTGGGGTGGGCTGGGGCCAGGGTGTCACGGCCCTGCAGGACAACTCTGGGCCTATCAGGAGCCAGATCTGGGCCATCACCATGTGTTTGACACATCTGCCTTCACAGACACTAACAAGATTCAAGAACAGTTTGACAATCTGAAAAATTAGGCCCCAAAATAGCAGAATGAATATCAGTTCAACAATATTCTAAATTTGTATAGGAAAAATCAAAGGCATAGGAAAAGAATAAGAGAGATGTAATACATGGCCATGAAAAAAGATTCTGGATATCTTATTGCATAATATGAGCCAATAGTTTAATGCAGCTGCATAACTAATCAAATGTGATCCTGGCTGAACCTGCAATTCAGGAAGAACAGGCAAAACATGTCCAGAGGAAAAGTCAAAATGAAAAGAGGCTCCAGAAAAAACTAATTATATGAATTATCTAATTATCTTAATATCTACAAGAACTTGAGGAGGCATCATGCAGCACCTGGTGTTCTCCAGTTGTAGCAGACTATAATCCCACTATCATAATTAGTTTTGTTTGGGGACTTTGGAAACTGTAAAGTTACAGAATTAGTACGGGTAGTCCTTGATTTACATCCATTTGTTTAGTGACCATTCAGCACTAAGTGACTTACAACCATTTTCACCCCTATGACCATTGTTGCTTCATACCCACAGTCACGTGATCAAAATTTGGATGCTTGGCAACTGACATGCATTTATGACAGTTGCAGTGTCCTGGGGTCATGTGATCACTTTTTGCTACTTCTGACAAGCAAAGTCAATGGGAGGCCCTAGATTCACTTAAGAACTGTGTTACTAACTTAACAACTGAGGCCAGAAAGGTCATAAAATGGGGCAAAACTCACTTTACCCCTGTCTGGCTTAGCAGTGGAAATTTTGGGCTCAATTGTGGCCATAAGTCAGTGAAAACAAGGTGTGTACTACCCGTATACCCATTTCAGCAGCAAGTCCAATCCCCCTTTCAGACCAGAAACTCAAATTAAGGCAACCCAGAGAAATAGCTCACTAGGCACTGCTTGAATATATCTAGTAGAGATCACCCTACTGGTTTACTGGTTCCATAGTCAAACTAGTCTTAGTTGTGTTCAACAAATCAGACAGAAGTACCAGGCTCAGGAGATTCCTAAAATGACAATCTGGTGGTAACCTTTCATTAGGAAAAAAAGAAAAAAAGCTCATTGGCATTTTCAAATGATAGAAATTTTTTTTTTTTGAGTTTGCTTTGGGAATCTGAAACCTATTTGTCCAATAAATGAAGCCAAGTTGTCAATAAATCAATAAATCTTTGAAGATAAATGTTAAAATTATCCCAGAATGCTTCCCAATTTTAGTTATTCTCAAAAAGTTGGAAGGTGTCAAAGATAATTTATTACCTCCATTTCTACAGAAGAGCTGTGTGAAATGCACAACCCGGGCTTTCATGATCCCTGTACAACTCAACAATCTGCTTGCAACAAAATTCTTCATGAACAATCTGATTAAAAGTATGCTAGCACAATGTTGTCACTCTGTATGATTCATTTAATCTCAAAATCTGTCCATGACAAGGTTTGGGGATTACATGAGTCGCATCCTGTGTTGCTGGGAAATGTATTTCGTACATGCAATACTGCAAGCCTGAACCAGATTATTCAGTCTGCTCTCTTTCCCAGGAAGATATATGGCACTGGCCCAGGTGAAACAAAATACTGGTTAGTTTCACCCACCAGGTTACTCTGTGTAAATCGGAGAGAGTGGGAAGTTGCTCCGAAGTTTTAACGTCAAAAAGAAGAGGTGGCTTCTACACTGTCACAATCCTTTAGCTGGGTTCTCCCAAGGACAGCAGCCATGAACAGTAACTATTAACCGGAAAGCGGGGGGGGGGGGGGGGGACCCCAGAACTGTCTCGCAAACCAAACCAACCAGAAGGTGAGAAAGCGGCACCCAGAATATTCCGAAGCAGGGCGAACGCCGGAGTCACAGTCAATAACAGCCCCCCACACACACACACACACATATATACACCCGCCAGCCTGCTGCCACTTCTGCCACCACACATTCGGAGCAGCAGGACTCCTGAAGCGAAGCGTATGGGAAGCATCAGGCGTTAAAAGAGGTAGCCAATCCCAGAGCTCAGCACCCTACGCCTGTCGAAATAATTGGGTTCGCTCGAAGGGGGGGAGGGAGGGCAGAGGACGTGTGGTGCAAGGCAGCGGTACACTCCAGCCAAACAAACCCAAAAGCCTCAGCTTCATGGCGCAGTCAGTGGATAGGACGGAAAGCTAAAGTCTCAACAATCCCGGCGAGGCGGGGGGGGGGGGGGGGGGGGCAGCTTCTCTCCCTTTCCGCTTCTATTTAAAAAAAATAAAAGAACCGTACTCTACCGTCCTTGGAGCCCGAAAAACAACCCAGCTCCCTCTGGGGGCTTCAGGCCACGGCCAAGCAGAAACGGGGATAGGAACCGCGCAGCTTACTCCAAAACCGCCGCGGAGCAAAAAGCGCGGGGTATCTGCTGGGTTGGTTGTGTGTTTTTTTTTTTTTTTGCTTACACGGAAGGAGGCGAAAGGCCGAGAGAGAAAAGCGAGGGGTACAGCAATTGGAGCGGGAATAGCGCCGCCGAGGGCGAGAACAGCAAAAGAAGACAACCGACACTCACCGGCGCCCAGAGTGCCCAGCAGCACCCACCACACGCACAACATCCACATGTCCAGGCTGGCGCAAGGGAGGGCAATCCGCTTTCTTGCCGCGACAATTCTCTCACAGACCAAGGGAAAGACCGCTGGGGGGAAGTAAGGAGATCCGGAGCTCGGACTCGGAGCCGCCCAGCCCGCAGCCTGTCAAGCTTCGACGGTTCCCTCTAGCCGCAGCAAGCGGGGCGGAGCCACACCCGGCTTTCGCTTTCGCTCTCCGCCGCAGGAGGGGAGACGAAGGCGTAGGTGGAAGAACAGCCCCCTCCGTAGCCGGCTGCCGGACTGATGCTGCGCGCTACGACTTGAGAGCAGGTGGGTTTTCTTTCGTGAAGAGCCGGCGAAGACCTCCAGGTTCTCGCCCTTTTCCAGCTTGTGCCGCCGTAAACCCAGGGAGGAGCTACGGTAGTCCTCGACAATCGCCGCACCCCTTCAGAAGACCTTGAAATCGTCCACCGAAAGTTTCCAACCTGGCGAGACGGCGTTTACGGCTGCTCCCGGCTCTTCTAGCGCACGCAGGAATTGCGCAGACTTGGAAATGAACGTTGGGCTCTTGGCGTGACAAAGGAGGAACTCTGCGTCATACTGAAGCTTGCGATCGTCAGGGAAAGCCGACGCCGCCAAAGAGAAGTCTTCGCCCATCTTATGTACTGTTCAGTATGTGCAAGTCTGAGATGGCGCAGCAGACTGGACCTGAGGCTCCGGCTAAGCCCGAAGCAAAAACTCCCAATGAAATCTTTACAGCGCTCTTCCATGAGTGTTTCCCGTCAGTCTTATAATAAGACGGCTTTATGAAGTAAGGTTTCTGGAGCCTTGAAACACGCACAGTTGCAGGAAAAGCATTAGCTATGAATAAGAGATGAGTTTCCTGGTTTCATCTGAGGTTTCTACACCGGGGGATTTAGATTGGAGTTGGGTTTTTTTTTGGTTTTGGTTTTTTTTGCTGTGTCTCCAGTTCCCCTGCTCTCGTGCTGGTGCCTATTATTTTTCATAAAGTATAAATGCATCATGCTTTAGGAACACTTGAAGTTAAACCCACATAATCATTATAGGAGCTGGCGTTTTAAATTCAACTATAAATCACACTAGATAGCGTCTCAAGTAAATTAATTTAGAATAACTGAGATAAATATGGCCTTTCTACAGCCTTTTCAATATGCTGCTATATAATAAATACCATGCTGTCAACATATTAGGACTTACACTCAGACATGTGGGGAGAATTGGCCATCTTTCAGACAATCATTCTTGATGTTTCCTTCATCAAGAGCAAATGTTAGTGGCAATGTTAATAATAAGCCAAAGGGGTTTTTCAGCAACTGCACGTTGAAATCATAGCATATAAATAAAGACAAATTAAGTAATCCAGTTTCAACAGAATCTAGGGGTAATCTTATCTTCTTTTTAACCCAGAATTTCTAAAATATCTTTTTTGTTTGAAGAACACCAAGTAATACATTGGAAATCATTTCTTCTCTAAATGCTCCTGACCGGAATATTTTTGGTTGGCTTTGGAGAAATTCAGGATTAATAAGCAAGATCGCAGAGATGTACCAAATTGTATCTTTGTTTAAACAATGACTGATAGGTGCATATTGTTATAAAAATATCCCAATAAAGAACAGGAAACAGCAATACAAAAAAACAATTCTTACTTTAAAATTCAGAGATTTATTTCATGAGCAATTTGAAACATTAATAGCCATCATAATACAACTTATATCAATAACTCATTGCAATGAGGTCCAATGACATAGCTGAGTCCGGCAAGGAGTAGCCATGGCCAGTGGCCCTGAACACATTCCAAGACATTGTTTTTATATTTTTCTGCATGCATTTCACTTCTCTGTTCTGTCTTACAGTCAGTCTCCACATATACCTGTGTACATCTCAAACCTCTATCCAGTGGCTAATTTCAGTTCCTTATTTGTTGCAGTTTTCAAAACTACATAATTTGCAAAATCACATTTCACAGCAATAGTTCAGCAGGATTACAGATACTTCTGGTACATTTGAAATCCTATCTAAAACTTTGGTTCATGTCTCTTTATCCTAGGGCTTGCTATCATTCAAAGGCCTTGTTGAATCTGATAAATCATGATGGTGAACCTATGGCACGCATGCCACAGGTGGCACACATAGCCATTTGCGCCAGCATGTGAGCTGCACTTACCTCACTGTGCATGCGTGTGCCTCACAGCTGATTTTCAGCTGGCTTGAGGCCTTTTTTAGCCTCCCAGAGGCTCCCAGTATTATAGGAAGTGATGAAACGGGCCTATTATTTGGCCTGCAAAGCCTGCAGAGGCTTTTTTCAAGCCTCTGGGAGACCGAAAAAGGCCTCAAACTGGCTGAAAATCAGCTGTGAGGTGCAGTGCAGGTAAGGGGGCAGGAGGGGATTGCACGCACATGCGCAGGGGGCATGGGGGCCATGCACATTGCTTTCTAGTTGCTGGCACGTGACTGCGTACACAATTTTTGGCACAAGAACTCCAAAAGGTTAGCCACTACTGTGATAGATCAGTAGCCTATATTTTTCTTCCCACAATATGTTTGGATATCATTTCAGTCATGACTTAGTAATAACTCCTTTTCCAAAAAAAACAACAACTTCTGAGCATTCCTGTAGGCAACTGACAGCCTATTTTTGCTTTAAACTTTTTTCCTTCTACTCTTCCTTGCAGAAGTCATCTAGCTTGGAAATATTCTTACATCTCTTTGCATAAACTTTATGTTTCACAACTCCACATAGATTCTCACACTATCCAAGTCTGGGGATTGTGAATGTCATTCCAAGACTTCATATTTCCTTCATGAAATTACTTCATGGTTAAATTGGAGATATGTTTCAGGTCATTGTTTTGCTGAAATATCCATTTTCTTCCACTTTTACATTCTCAAAAAGTAATATGAAACTAATTTGTAAATGAACTAAACCTACTTTTATGTTCAAATAATGCCATATTGCCTTGTAAATAGTTTCCTTATACTAGATGTGTTATGTCTGTGGAACTGGTTGGAGTTCCCAACCAGGTCCGCTGTTTGAGCGGGAGCACCAGCAGCTCCCATTGGTTGGCTCCGTTTGACAGCCGGCTATATAAGCCGGCTGTCGGGCAGAGCCAGCCCGTTGTCGCCCGCTGGTCTGCGAGTTAGCTAGCAGACGCGACAACCCTTTATTCATTGCAATAAAGCCTGTTAGTTGTACGCTCTGGTCTCATGCCTCTTCCTTACCATCGCTCCACAACAAGATGGATATTTTTTTACAATCGATTCATGCAATTTAGCTATTGCCTTAATCCTTATGGACTCTGGGAAGTTTGAGATATTAAAATAGTAACAAAAGTAAAATTTTCAATAATAAATTATAACAAGAAATAATAAACATTCATGCATGCATGCGTCCATTCACATACAAAAGAATAAATTGTGGCTTTATTGTCGGTTCCCAAAGACCTTCTGGAAAAGCCAGGGTTTTACTAGCTGCCAGAATGCCATAAGGATGGGGGTTGATAGTCACCTACGGAGGCAAGCTGTTCCATAGGAAGAAATCTGCCCTTGAGAACACCTGATGTTGTCATCTTCTCTTGCCTTATCTCCTAATAGATGGAAACTCTTAACAGAAGCTACTGAGCCAGCTGGTTGGATAGTTCTGAAATTATTTTAGAAAGGCAATCTCTTAGATACCTGGTCCCAGGCCATATAGGCCTTTAAAAGTAGCAACCAGCACCTTCAACTGCACTCATAAACATGCTATCAAGTAATGCAGCTCCTGAAACAGTAATATGAAAATACAGGTGCTATACTAGCTTGTGAGTATGTGGAGAGGAATGTTCTGGCCAGCTGAAGGTTCTGATTGATCTCAAGGACAGCCCCATGGAGAGCAATTTACAGTAATCTAAACCAGAGATAACAAAGACGTGAATGGCTGTGTTCAGAGCCTTGGGGTTTTTTTTATTATTATTATCTCACAAAATGCTTCTGCATCAAAGAATATACAGCATTACATGAGGCAGAGCAAGGTCAGTTGAAAATGATAGAAGTAAGGTATGTACACTGATAAGACAGAACATAATATAATTAAGGATATTATCAAATTGAGGAACCACTGTGTTCCTATCCATTAGCAATTTGCTGATTTCTAATTAAAATACAGTTTGTTAAAACACCTGACCAAAATATTGACTTAATTTTCTTCCCGAATAAGTTAGGCTGGGTAAATTTTGTGTAAATAAAGCTTCAGACAAAAATCTTTTGACTTCTTTTGTTTTGTTTTATAGTCCAAGCTTTTTTGACCAGTAGTCTATTGTAATTAAATTTACAAAGAGCAGTTTTCTCTAGCTAAGGATAATCATGCATTTGTTGAAGTTGCAGTATTTACAAAAGCGTATGTGACAAAATATTTTCTATCTATAGCTGTCATTTTTTTAATTATTGCCAAAACAAACCATTGCATTTGAAAATAAAGATAAAATAAGTACTGTTTCATTGTTTTTCTGCTTGAAGAAGGTTAAGTGGGAATATTCACGTGTTTGAGTTCTGCTGGTAGCCTGGCACATTGGCAAAAGTGGGCAATGTGTTGTGACTGAAAATTAAGTCCAGTGGGTCTTTCTGATGTATGGAAGTATACCTAACTGAGATAAATATAAATATATTCCAGCAAAGATGTGCATAAAGGAATGCATTAAAATACAATAAAACTATAGCTGTTAGTTTGTAAAAATCTTTCTAAAAGCAACAATTAATTGGTAAGGATGGAAGCAAGATTGACTCTGTTCATAGAGAATAGAATATTTTATCTACTTGAAAGGATTTCTTTGTTCTAGAAATAAAGTCTAGTTTCAGGACTGAGCCCAGCCCGATGTGTTAGAACTCATTTTCAATATAACAGGGCTAACTCATAGCATACAATGTGATGATGTAATGTGTGTGTGTGTGTTGGCCTGTGAATGAATATTCTGTTCTCTGTACCCATCTAGTAGATGCTTGAATCCTTCTGTACCTTGACCCTAGACAAAATATACTTTCTACCTGAAAAGCCATAACACAGTCAGAAATCTGCCAGTAATCAGGATTTCCTATAGCATTTCAATCCAGCTGGTTGTGGAAAAGAAATCAAATAGAAAGGGTAAAGCTTTTTTGTGTGGGGGGGGGGAGGCAGATACAATACCCAGCTGGTTTCCTCTGCAGAGGGAGTCAAAAGGCACTCATTTATAGCCAACAGAAACTAACTGAAGTTCAGGGAATATACAAAGGGAGAAATTCTTGATTCAGTTCTCTAAATAATAACTGAATAGGCCGAAACACAGGCTGGCTTCTTTTCTGGCAATACTGGCCTTGCATTCAGGTGCACTGTGTCTGAATGTGCAATGACTGTGCAATGCTACCTCTGCGCTGCTGAGTCCAGATCGCTGCAGCTGCAGCACACCCACTCATCTTTTGGCTGCCAAGGCAGCTCTCTGAGCACACCCACTCCCGGCTGCCTAGTACACCCACACTCTGCTAGAAGCAGCCATGGCACGTACACACAACCAGTTACTGATGCTGCCTCTCAAGAGGGTGTGCTGCGTAGGAAAGCAGATGTGTAACAAACATGCTGAGTTCTCTGCAAAAGGAGGAGGGAGGGTGAAGTTGTATTGTGACAGCTACTATTGAAAGATGGTATTAGCAGCAGAATTTGTTCTGTATAATACTGAAGTTGGTTACTGATTTCCATCTGGTTGTTGCTGTGAAACTCTAAAACACAGCTCAGTCAATCCAGCAAATATAGATTTAAGTTTAAAAGGAATGTGTAATCACAGCATCTGCTAATTACACTCAGAATTTTGAAAGTGAAGAACCTATTACTAGCTTTGGACAATTGTACATACATGTCTAAAATCTCCTTTACACATAGAGCAATATCAATGTGATA